AAATTGTTATTTTTTTATATTCTCTCCAAATTTTCTATGCAAATTTGTACTGTAAAGCATATTGAAGGAATATATATTTTGAGGTTGGCTGATTTAAAGACTTCAGCACATTGTTTTTATGCTGAAGATATGGCTAATTATAAATGAAAGTTAAGTTTTTGTTAATTTAGTTTATAAGAGTTTTCATTAATTTTTTTTTCTGTCTTTGTGCTGGAGAATTGGTGGAATATTTTGTTATTCATAGCTTCCCATTATTATACTCAGCATCCTCCAGTTCCCACTTTAGCAAGATCTGGTGGGTGGCGTGCACTCTGATTTGGTTTGTATTATTAGGAAAAGGTTTTAGATTATATAATCTCTGGCAAGTGACTTCACTCAGGAAATTGGGGTGATTATGGATTGCATGTTCGTGTCCCCCCAAATTCATGCTGAAACCCTAATCCCCAGTATAATGGTATTTGGAGATGGAGTCTTTAGGAGATAATTAAGACATGAGGGATTGGTTCCCTTGTAAGACATGAAGGAGTTTGCTTCTTTATCTGCTCTCTTCCATTTGAGAATTCAAGGAGAAAATGGCCATAGATAAGCCAAGAAGAGAGTCTTCACCAAGAGCTTGACCATGCTGGTACCCTGGTCTCAGAACTCTAACTAAGAACTCTAAGAAATGAATGTTTGTTCTTTAAACTACCAAGACCGTGGTATTCTGTCACCGCAGCTTGAGCAGACTTAGGCAGACTTGGAATGGAAAATGTGGTGCTTCTATGGAAAATAGCTAAACGTATGGGACTGGCTTTGTGTCTGAGTAATGGGTAGAGGTTGAAAGAGTTTTGAACTCTAAAAAGCCAATACTGCCTTGAAGGGAATTTTAAAGATGACTCTGGGGAGGGTCCAGAAAGAAATGAGAAAAGCTAAGGAGAAAACTTCTATCTTAGAGAATACATAAGTAATCATGTACAGAATGTTGGTAGAAATAGGAAAGGCGAAGGCTATTCTCATGCGGCTGAAAATGGAAATAAGGAGCATGTTATTTGAAACTGGAGGAAAGGCAATCCTTGTTGCAAAGTAGCAGAGAACTTGGTCAAACTGTGGCTCTGTTCTAGTGGCAGAGGGTCACTTGCTCCTGGTTACAGAGCCAATAATGGTGGAGGTGAACTGAGTTTTAACAGCTATGTCCCTGTCCCTCTCCAAAGGTAGACACTATGGGGACAAGCAAAGTAGGGGGAGAAGGTTAGTGTTAAAGAAATGATTCTACCCCTGTGGTCTCTGAAGAGCTGTTACCTTAGTCTAACATGCTTGCTTCTCTGCTTTCCTAGGACTGAGCCACATTGAGAAATAATCTTGTTCTGAAGCATTTTCATTTTAGGGAGGTGGAAGAGCTGTAATAGTTAGATATTGCTCAAATTCCAGGGGCCTAAAAGGAATCAAATGAGAGTAGACTTGTGGAAGTGCTTTGTCATCTGCAGAATGGAATGTGGATATTACACTCCTTTCCCAGCTCAGGGCACAGTGCCTGAACTGGAGACAGTAACTCTGTGAACTAATTAGCCTACAAAACAGGAAGAAATCAAGTGTGCACACACACTGAGTACATACTTGTGTATCTTTCTGCTAGATGGGGAGCTCTGTGAGTGCAGAATCTGTGCCATCTCTGTCTCCCCAAGGCCTTATGGAATGACCTAAAAATAGTCAGTGCTCAATAAATGTTTGTGATTAATAACAATTATAGTGCCTTTCMTTTTACTTGAGGTTTTTATGGGATAGACTCTCTCTGAAGCCAGATGGAGGAAGTGATAAGAATTGCTGACTTTTATTTCTATAGAGCCCTGTTATATATTCTGCATGGCAGGAGGTGAGGGTTCAAAGATTGAGAGCTGAAAAGCTGTAGATGAGAAGGCAGCATTCCTGGTAACTCAGCATTGGGCCCAGAAATCACCTGTGGTGTGTCTGGAAGCAGGGAAAACAGAACGAGCCCAGATATAGTGTTGCTGTGTATTCTCTGGGCTGTTCTCCCTAGTGCATGCAGCCAGAGGGTAGATCTTTCCCCACCCAGCAACCAGAGGGTAGGAAAGTAACCTGAAGCAAACAGGTTAGACAGGTCTGGCCAGTTGTGGGGCTTGTTGTGAACAATATGGCCCATGAGTAATATGGTCACAGTGGCCTGTGGTCATAGTGACCAGTCATTGCTGACAYAGAGCAGAGGAAATCACAGGTCTTAGGCAGTGTGACCTGGAAGGCCAGCTTTGACAACAGATGCAGAGAGTGACATACTAAGGGAACAGAGTATTCAAGAGGCACCGTGTCACCAAGCCCAGAGCCAGCTGACCTTATATGGCCCAGGGTTATGCCAAGTGCAATAAAGAAAAGAAAAATGGGGTGGGAGGAGTGGCAGTGAATGCAGAGGGCGAAGGCAGAAATATCAGAATAACTCTACTAACCTAAGTTTGTRGGTTAGTAAGGACATTCTTGTAATTAGTAAATGCAAAGGCAGGCTCCAAGCTCTTGCCATGCCCACATGAAGCCTGGAGTAGAGCGAACCAGACAGACTATGGCTGYGGCTACACAGGATATGGGCATCCCCTAGTAAAGGAAGCTTGATGGTTAGAAAAAGGCTAAAGTTTAGAGTATATGGTGGCGATTTCTACATTTACCATTTCAACAAGTATGAATATAATTTACTGTAGTGCAATTTCTTGTGATGGATACTTTATTAATCTAAAGTTTCAGCTTGAAACTTTAGCATTTTCTAAAAAAGAAATAACTGACCCTGGGTAGGCCTTGCTGGATATTATTCTGCCAAGGCCAGTTTCATGATGATAGTCACTCAAGGATTTGCTTTAAAACATATACCAAGGACCGGCCTTTATTCCTAAATAAGAAAAAGCAAGAAAAATGATGATTACAATGATTTCAACCCAATTGGACTTCCTCAACCTTTTGGTGAGACTGGGGGAGTTACACACACACACACACACACACACACACATATTAATTTGGCAGGAGCCTAAGGGAACAGAAAATTAAAATTAGGTGGTACCAAAGCTGGCTATGCGTTATTATTAGGACCTAAATATTTAAAAAGTCACAAATCCTCAATTAAAAGAAAGATATTTTATCCATCCTTAGGGAAACTGAAGGCCCTGTTATTGCAACTTTTTGACCCCACTTCATTTAATTAGGGTTTTAACACTCCTACCTATTCCAAACTATTGATTTCTTTAGCTTGGGCCTGAAAAAACAGACAAAGGACTATATATGATATCACTCTAATGATTTATCTTAAGAATCTGTGAGCTGTGGAATCGTGATTGTTAGGACTGAGAGACACCTGCTCACCTTTCTGAAATGAGGAGCTGAAAAGATATTCTCAGATTCAGAAAGGGTAAGGGATACATTGTTGACCTTTCCAAGACAGGAAACCTTTGATGAACTATAGGACACCAAGACAGTTCATTTAAAAGATGGTTTCAAAGCATTATCCAGGGTAGGTTTTGTATGTGCCTTAGTGAAACTCTTGGGTTGTCTTTTTACATAAACCCAGGGAAATAATGGTTTCCGCAGTCATTCATGTCTGCAACCCTCATGTGGCATCTTGGCTTCTGGGCTTTGTAACTGCTTTTCCGTCTCTTTTGTGGACAAAATTAAACTTTCCTTACCATTTGACAGCATGGAACTTTCCTGAGATGGGCTGCTAAGGAGAGAAGAGACAGGGAAAGGTCACCAATAGCATCTCCATGTAATTAAGTCAGTGGAAACAGAGAAATAAAATTGTGGCTAATGACATTTACTCGATCCTATAATATGWATCTCTTCTCTGCTCTCAGATGTAAGTTAACGATCAACAGTTAATAAAATGTACAGACTGTAAATCTTTGTTGCAGGTAATATTGTGTGCAATTTTTGGGACAGATTTACTTTAGGGTTGTGTTTAGAATTGCTTGTTCTCTTTTTCTCTCTGCCTCTTCTTCCTGTTTCTCTCTCTCTCTCTCTCTCTCTCTCTCTATATATATATATATATATATATATATATACTAACATTTATGTATATGTACATATATGAATTCCTATGTACATGTAAACATGCATACATACATATATGTATATGTAGGTTTTCTAAGGTATAGAATAATTAATAAAGGATAGGTTAAAAGAGAAAAAATAACTTTCAATTTTGATTTATAGACTGAGGTTGACCATCTACTAAGGTATATTATGTAATCAAGGAGCCAATTTGTTCTCTTTTAACTCTTAAAGACCTTAAAATTCGAAGACAAGTCTATCATTTCTTTCAATTTTTTTGGTGCTCCATGTAGAACTAATAAAATCGTCTATATAGACATGAAAAAATAAACACTTCAAAATGATGGGCTTAACCTTGGAAGAAACTTAATCGTAAGCCTGAGTCCCCAACAAAATATGTCCTTCATTTACTGGGTACACAACCAATAACATCAGCAGGGATAACCAAGAATCATGCCGGATCTTGGCTTTCAAATAGAGCAGAGGAGACAAACACATTARTAATGTCATATTGTGTGAATGTGAAAGGTAGCTCAGGTTCTATGGGAACGGGGTGGATGGTAACAGCCCACTGGGTACACATCAGGGCACATTTCCTGGAGGAAGAAAGACACATGCATCATCATGTCACCGTCTGACAGGGGAAGCAGAGGCCCTGGCTAGAGAGGGACAGCCCTGTGTCCTGATGGCATGGGGGACAATGTGAGGGAGAGCAGCAAGAAACAGGTATGAACCCAGGGCATGCCACCAGGAATTGAAAGAGCCCTCTGAAGGAGCTGCTACTTTCCTACCAGGCCTTTTGTCACAACCAGAGCTCCCAGTTCCTATCAAAGAACCTGGAAAACAGTAGGTGCTCAGGACATGTTTATTAAACATATACACACAGCCAGCTTGAAAAGTGCACGATCCATCCTGCACAATTTGGAGATGAGAAAGTCAAAAATCATCTGGGTTGTCAAGGGACACTTCATTTTCTCTTTCAGATTACTTGCAACATATAATAGCCTGACCGATAAACACCTGGCTGGATATTTCAACAACACAAGGATACGGCGGCATCTCCTAAGATCAGGACTGGTAAAAATTGCTTTGCTTTCTACTCATGTTCTCATTTCATTAAGTCCAGTAATTCCTAATTTTTCAGATTTTCTCTTTAAACTAGTCAGTGACATGGCTTTTTCCTACCCATTTTAGAAAAATTGCWTCTTTTTCAAAGTTCTGATTTATTTATTTGAGGCTATTTCAGAAGATGAGAAGACAGTTCAATGATCACTAAGAAAAACAAACTATTGAGGGAAAGTCTCAATGAGTTTCAACGGCATAGTTCATTTATTTCCTCATTTATGTATTTAACACATATTTATGGAACACATTTTATGAGCCAGAAACTATTAGAGAATGAGGACAGAGAAGACTTCATTGTCTTCAGAAAAAAAAATATTGTTTTTAATGAACACAGAGCATGGTGTGAAAAGCATGAACAATTCAACATTTCCCCCTTGAATTTTTTTAAACTTGAATTTCCTGTGATGGTTTATTGATACATTGGTGTCTTTCATTAGTTTTAAAATTGCTCTTTCAACAAAGTTTCCTTTCCTCCAAATAACTATAATATGAAAATCCTTTTTAAAAACCTATGGTTTCCCACTGAAAGAAAGGGGTGTAGTCATAGAAAGTGTTAGCTATTTACCTTCTTAAAACACACTCCTTAACAATCGTTGCCTTGGTGTTGAAAGAACACGCATTGTGTTTCTAATTGTTGTTTACRTGCTTGGCATTCTAGCTGGAGAGATCTCCAAGAGAGTGGAGAGAGTCACTTTTCAGTCTCTTGGGGCTTTGTTATCAGACAGACCTGGCTGAAACCCAGCTCTGCCATTAACAAGATACAGAATCTTGAGCAAATCACTTATGTAACTTTTTCAGCCCCAACTGCCTCAATTTTAAAATGAAAATAATGATGCCCAGTCCTCAGTATCSTTATGACAATTAGAGTTGTGCTACTGTAATAATTACGGTGGTGGCTTTAATTATTGTGGTTATTATTAACATTGTTTCTTTGGATAATGGTCTTTGAGCTTCATGTATAATGGAAAGAACTTTGTGTTTGCTTATCAACATCATTAACAAGCACTTTTTGAACATTTGGTTGTATGCATGGCGACTCAAATAAGGAAGATACAGCCGTTTCTCTAGAGCAGTGGTTCAAAAGCACCCCTTCAGCTAGCATTGTTTAGTATCACCTGGGAACTTGTTAGAAAATGCAAATGTGAGAGCTGTACTCCAGGTTTACTGAATCAGGAGCTCTGGGATGGGGCCCATCAGTCTGTTTTTCTTCAAGGTCATTAGGTGATGCCAATACAGACTTAAGTTTAAGAACCTCTGCCCTGTAGGAGCTTCTAGTCTAACTGGGGAGATCAGACATAGTATCTGGAGAAGAAATAACCACGACATACTAACTACCAAAGAATGTTCTAATATCTTTCCCCAAATTTAACACGTGTGACATGATATATCAAGGACAACACATTCCAAAGACTGTATTAGTAATTTCAAGAACACTTTTTTTATATAACATATCCCTTTCTTCCCTTGGAACATGTGTTATTGATAAAGATTATCAATAATCAATTGGAGCACAGTTCTAGTTAATCTCAACACTCTAAATATACTGCAACAACAGTGTTTAAAAAAAACTATAGCAAGTTTAGAACAACATTAAGAATAAATATGTTGCTTGCCTTAAACCTTAAAAAGAAGGGCAGGTCATCAATAAGTGGAAAAGAATATATACAATCTGAGAAGGATAATACTCTTTGTTTAGGAGATATAGAAAAACACAACAAATATGCTTATAGGAAGGATTCAAAGAAAAGGCAAATAAGTAAAAAGAGAAACTGCCTTTCCTGGATCTTGCAATGGTGCCAGTTGAGACGAAAATTGAATACTTTCTATCTGTAGTACTGCATAATCTGTAAAATTATAAATCACAACCAATTAAATTACATTCTGGGCTGGAGAGTGGAAGAAGAAAAAGCAGTGGGAAAACAAAGTAATGAAACCAATTATTTTCAAAACAAATCGATGAGATCCTCTGCAGCTCGCCTGTTTTGTCCTTCAAAGTATTTCCTGTGAGATCACGAGCTGCGATGCGATCACAGCCCTGTGGGTTTCACGGTGGCGTCCACCCACTTCTTCCCAGAATGTGTTCAGAAATGAAAAGAACACCTGGGTCCCATCAAGGGGGAACTGTTCCTCTAATGAAAACCTCGTTGTAAATGTCCCTCGCACCACTCATGTGCGCCTGCACAGTGATGGATGTATGAGACTGTTCTGGCCCTTGTGCCTTAGCAACTAACTGTTCATTGAAAGAGAGAGTGCATCAGCCACAGTGGCCCACTCCTTGTGCTTGGGTGACTCTGCCACTTTTCTTCTCTCTCCCTCCCTAGCCTGACCCTCTTGTCTCTTTCTCTTTCTTCTCTGACTCCCATTTTTGAAAACTAACAACTCATTTTCTTCTTTGTATTTCTGTGTATGTTTTATTTATTCATGACAGATCACAAGAAGTGGAAGAATACTTTCTGAAAAGGAATACAAACTAAATATCATGAAGCGAGATCACCAAAAATATATCCGGGAGTGCTTGGCTCAGGCTATTTTCCATAAGGTTCTWGATTTGGAGGTACAAATATTTATTATTGTCCTTTTAATTAATTTTTTTTTGGTAAGATGATACTTAATAATGCTTTTTGTAACCAGAAGCAGGGGACTTCTTCCTATATTTCAATAAAAAGAAAATGGAATCAAGTGACTTGAGAAAGAGTCTGTATCYCTCTAGGTAGTCAGGAGCCAAGAGACTCGAGTAAGCTTTTCTCTATTTCAGCTGGGAAAAAATATGGACATCATAATATATTTTGTGATATTTAATTTTCTAAATGTAGATTTTAAATCCACAATGGCTACTCTGAAACATACCAGCCCTCACCATCTGTACCTTAATTTCCATTTGCTAAAAAAAAGTGACATCTGTTTAAATATCAGTAATTCCACTGCCATGAATTATTTCAGATCTGTTATTCTTTTAAGGCTCCGAAGCTCAGCCGTATGTTAAGTTTCAAGGAATAGGCATTGAAACATCTGCTGTCCCTCCTACTTTAGGCCACATTGGTCAACATAGATTTTCAACCCGAGCATCAACAAAAATTTTTTTTAATCTGACATGGCACTTTTAGTTGGATATTTAGCTAACTTGATAAATTATTTCAGCCTTGCTCCGTGAAACTTGTACTTTCAAGCATCAATATCATTTTAATCTCTCTGAGAAAGCATGTCATTTCTTGGCTTGACCATACAGCAGTAAATAAAAAACTTGGCTTGTAAAACCGTTGACCTATGGGTGCAGTAAACATTTATGAACAACTGTAGAATCATCAGTAAACCAATATCAAGTTGAGTGCCACTGAACATATTTATTATTATGCTACCATTGTACTGATCAAGTAGAATGTTCACTTAGGATGTGTGTGTATGTGCACACACATACATATAATGCACACACATATATAATGCTAACATATAATATTAATTTCAGAATCTGTCTTGTGYATCATATCTTGTGCATAAATTATATGGAATCATTGATTCACTTGCTTTTAAAAGTATTAGTTAAAAATCTACAATTCTTTTAAGAAAATAAATAATATGACATAAAATTAATCTACTCCTAGTTTCAAGTTTACTTAATAGGTAGAGTTCAAAATTATCCTTGAAGTTCAGTTTTCTAAAATCATACATCACCGACACATTATGACTCACYATGCTATCATTTAAAAGTCTGTAGTTCTTAAAGTTTGGAATAAATATCTTTGATAAATGATAATGTGCAGTATACTAAGTAGTTTATCTATATAATAGAATAGGATAATACATATATGGCTAGGCAGTCCTAGTCTAAAAATATGAAATCTGAACTTTTTTGAGCACCAACATAATGCTTAAAAATTTTGGATTTTGGAGCATTTCATAGTTCATATTTGTCAGATGAGGCATATTCAATTTGTGTAGTCTGTGTAAATATTCCAAAATCTGAAAAATTCTGAACTCTGCAACACTTACGGTCTCAACGATTTTGGATAAGGGCCACACCACTAGTATAATACATTAATATACTAGAAGAAGCAGCATTTTTCTCTAAGTAGCYACATTTGTGTGCCATTTAGTTTACGGTGACACTGTTTACTAATGTTGTATTGATATTCATGTATTCACTCATGCAAAAAATATTATTTTGTTGTTTATTTTTGCAGTTATGGGGACCAAAGCCAGGGTCCTGTGCATGCTAGGCAAGCGCTCTGTCACCGAGTCACATTCCCAGACCTATGCAACAAACATATAGGCTTACCATGGGCAAAAATGAAGCTCTATGTTGAAGATGAAAGATAATTTAAAAAATACCACAGAAAATGAGAGCTAGGAGAGAGGAGCAAACAAACTAGCTCAGAAAAGAAGGGGAGGATGGTTTTCTTCTGTGGGAGTCAGAGGTCCTGCTATTTACAGAACATCTTGAAGAGTGAATGAGAATTCCCATGAAAACACAGGAAAGGCATTCCAGAGAGTGGAGACTGCAGGTGCAACATTACAGAGGTGTGAAGGGACATTGTGAACAGAAAGGAAAGCTCACTGAAGCCAGATTGCACAGTGGGTTGGTTGAAAGTAGTGACAGGAGTGACACTACGCTGGGACCCAATTTCTGGAAAGCCCTGAATTCCCAACTCGGTTTGGAGTGTAGGTGATGAGGCGATGAAATGTTTTCCAGCAGGGGAGTGAAATAAATGAGCAGAGCTGTTTTAGAAAGATGATGTTGCTAAAAATGTGGAAGATGGATTAATGAGCTGGAAAAGATTGGAGGTGGGAGGTCAATTAGGAAGCTGTTGCTGAAGGGTGTGGGCTAACAGCAGTAGTGGGGATGCAGGGGAGATGCAGCTGTCTCCAGAGATACTGAAGACAGGGAAGGCTTTACAGTGACAGCATGAGGAGCAGCTCTGAGGTTTTCAGCCTGGGCGGTAGCATGTGCCCTGGGGGACACAGGGACCACTTGGGTAGAAAAGAATCTCCATGTGGTGAAAGCTGTGCCTACCAGGATGTTTTCTAGGAAGCCAGGAGGCTCTTAGGAGCTGCAGAATGGTTAAATCAGATGAGTACTGGAAAAAAGGAAATTAGGTTTGACCCAGAAGACAAAGACATYGGTGGCCTTGGGGAAAGTAGTTTCAGCAGTGGTGAGGAGGAGGGGCTGACTGCGGAGCACCAGAAATAAGTGGAAGATGGAAAATGGCTGATAGTGAATGTAATAAAGTTTGGTGATAAGTGGGTGAGAGATCAGAGAAAGGAGAGGAAAGGGAAGTGTCAAGAAGAGGATTGATGATACTTAGTCAGTGAATGATTGAGTCCCCAGGGTCCCCAAGGCAGCAAGAGGGAGTCAAGAATAGAAAGGAAAAAAAAAAAAAAAAAAAAACAACAGAAAAACACCTTTTCTTTCAAAGAGCCAATAAAGACCTTCAAATGCATCTGAATGATTTCAAACTGGATTGTAAGCAGATCAGTGCTATGTGAGATTTATTTTTAATATGGTACAGAAAATTTGGAACTATAAAGCATAATAAAGAAAAATAACCGGATCGTTCCTATTCTCAGAGATCACTACTGTTAACATACAAGTTTTTTGTTTATCCACATTTATGAATTAATAAAATTATGCTATGTTGTGAGAGGGATATAGATTTGTGAAAAAACAAACAAACAAATAACAACAACAAAAACAAAGGAAGTTAATGTCAACTTAACCAAAGTTCAAAGTAGCGCTCCATAGCTGACTAGATGTAGGACCTGAGGCAAGTTCATGGTCCTCTGCCTCAGTTTCTCTCTTTGTAAAATAGGGCTGTTTGGCAATTAGAGTTGTTCAAGAAGAAGGGTTGTACATGAAACACCTTCCTAGCACAGGGACAATTACATATTTCTGTGACATTCTGGAGTTTGCTTTCTCCTGCATTTACATGAATTTCCCATTTTTTCAAAACACAAAATCTTTATGAACCTTATTCTTAATGATCATATTCTGTTTCATCATTTGAATAAGTGACAAAAATTTAAACATTCTCTTTAGAGTTTATATTGCTTCTGCATTTTTGCTTTGAAAAAGGAAAAGAAAAACTTCTGATAGCATTACTGTGCATAAAACATGTAAAAAATTATATTCAATTTTGCCCCTGGGTTTAGAAGTGAAAGTTAGTCATTAAAGGGTATAAATACTTTTAGCTGCCTAATATATGTTTATAATTTGGCTTTCTTAAGAGTAGCACCAATTTATATTCTCACCTGCATACTTAGGCAGGTGATTCTTCTCCATCTCAATGACAAGAGGGGTAATCAAGAATAAAGTTAACTAGTAGGATTATTTTCTAAAAATTTGTGACAATTGATATGATTCTGTCCTCTATTCTTTCCTGCATGCTTAGCGTCACCATCAACTGGAAATAAAAAAGAAACTGGAGACCTTAGCTAGAAAGGAGCAAATTCAGAGATTTAAGGTAAGGCACTATATACCGTCTTGCACTTCATAATATTTTTTAATGATTTCACAAGCAATGGTCATTATTGAAGTTTCCCTAGGCACTTTACTTTGGGGTAATACATAGCTGAGGTCAAATAATGGTTCTACTAAGCCTGAATGTTGGCCGTCCTCTTTACAGATGATAGTGACAAAATATGAGTTGTTTGTGTGACAGACATTTTAATAAGGCACAAACCTTTCAAAGACAAACTTGTAAACATCCCTTTCAAGTTTGAAGTTTTGCTTTTGTATTTTCATGTGGTAGAGGCCAAAGGATCTTTAGCTGTCTTAAGAAAGTAAAAGTATATGATAATGTTCTCAATGTGATAAAAAAAAAAATAGAGCATTTTAAGAATTATACAATGGCACATTTTTGTGTGAATGTCACCCTTGAAAATGATGACGGGAAAGATCCTCTTTAGCAAAAGAAAGCATAATAAGATTTAAGACATTTTGTACTAGGTCTGTTGAAATTCCTTGCTTGTTTTCTATTTTGGTATTTGATATCTCTTCTTTGCAGTGAACTTATGAAATATATAAATTTGAATCAAGAGATGAGAGATTCAATTAGGCATGTTTGAAAGATTTTGATTTAGGTTGGCAGTTTTATTCAATTTCTTTTGCCATTCAAAATCACGTTGTCCTTAATTTTCTGTGTAGTATTACAAATGTGAGACCTAAGACATTTCACAAAATGATGAGTATTTGTAAACCCCTGTAGAATAAGTTGCCAAATAATTCAGTATTTTTTTTTCTCTCTTGCCTGACAGACATGGATCTATTTTATCAGGATCAAAAGATAATCTTGTTACAAGAGGACTGCTTTCTGGTAGTGTCTACTAAACAAAGTCGTGAAGGGCACTATGCTTTTGATAGTAGTCTGCTAAAGCAGATTAATAGTGTTTATGGCTAAAAACGAAGGATGCACTGCTTTTGTAGCTATTTCTTTGTGTACAGCTAAAGCAKATTCAGTTTTCTGCCTTTCCCTACCATGCTCAGCACCCTGATAAGGCACAAAACTTCCTAGCCACCATGACAGTTCTCAGAAGTGGCACTCCTGAAAAGAATGAGAAAGGACTTCTTTAGTCCCACAGTCAATTAAAGCATGAACCTAAGTTAAGTACTAACCTAACCTAGACTACTAACTAAATCTCTTTTTTATTCCAGGGAGAGAACACAAGACAATTTATTGAAAACAACATGCCAATCCTGTCTCCTCGCCCCCCACTTGGCCCAAAGACTAATCGAGGCCAGAGTGTTCTGGTTAGTGAAGGACATTCTAGTCCATTAACACTGGTGAGTCATATTAAACACTCTGTCCCAGCTTATTAATTGGTGATTTCTTATTAATCGCAAAAAAAAATGCTTTCTGCACTGTGTCTGCATAATCCTGCAAGTCCTCCTGAATGAAAACATTGTTTTAAAAAGAACCACATTGTGTACACCCACTAGACTAGGATCCTAATTAGAATAACATATACTCCAAGTTTGTATAAATATGTTAAAATAGACTCTACTGTCATGTATAACAAAAAGGAACAAATTAAAAAAAAAAAAAACTAAAAAAAAGAACAACACACCCCCGCCCCCAGTCTTTTATCTGTTCAACTCTGTCTCTTCTGAATCTCCTACTTCCAATCAAGACCACTCCTGCCAAATCCATTGTACTTGCTAACTGCTAGTTTTTTTTTTTTGAAGTATAGATTATTTATGTTACATATATTCCCAGTACGTTCCCTGGGTCTGTGTTACAGATAGGAAAGACCAGACTCTTTCACCTGACCTATAAGACCATAAACCATATGACCTCAAGTTAGCCATCTCAATATTTCCCTTCATGATTACCCATTAGCGTCCTACAATGCAGCAGAATTGAACCATGAGTTGTTTCATACATATTCTATATTTTCTGACCTCTGATTTAGTTCTTGCATTTCCCTCTATTGCTCTCTTACCTGCACAGATCAATGGCACCATATTGCATATAGGATAGATACCAATGTTCCTTTCATCAAAAATGTGTGCTCATACTCTAAAATAAAAATAATTAAATGTATAGTGATACTATTTGAACAAATTTCACACTGATATTTTGTGCTAGCTTGATTCCTTGGTAACTTAGAGGTGGTTATAAACTCTCAAAGGAGAGGGAGATACCTTGAAACAATATCGATAAAGGAAAAGATTTGCAAAATATTTACTAGAGGCTGATGGTTTAAGTTATAACTGAATTGTTTGATTACATCTTTATTCTTGCTTTGTGTAACCTAATCTATTTCCTTGTTAGCATGAACTTTTTTTGGTATTGCACAATATTTATAGAGGAATGGCAATGCTTTTACAGGTTATTGAAGTAGGTTCATCATATATAATGTTAAGATTTGACATATTTCAAAAGGTAAATATGTTTTGACATTCCCTAATGAACAGCTCAAGTGATGAAAAGCAACCATCTACCCTTTGTTGTTACCCCAATTTCCAGGTTTGATTTGAATGTATATGTGTACAAATAATTCTTTTATTGGATGGCAATTCACTAGACTCTCAGAAGCTTAACCTGAGTGAAACAAAAGAAACAATCTAGTGCAGTTTTCTGTCTTCCACCTGTTTCAGAGAGGAAAAACCCTTTAAAAGCTTTCTTTTCAATTTTCCAGCTGAACACCCTCAATAAATAGTTTATGATACATCCAGGAGATCTTAATGTGGCAGAAGTGAGAAAGTAATTTAAAAATTACAGGAAACACTGACACCAGCACTTCAAAAGGCTTTCCCTCTGCTAAGCTAGGGTTCTTCACTTGGTCACCCCCTATGGTGCTCTTGCACCTTAAGGGATACCTATTGTGATCTTGGAATTGTACTTCCCATTTTACAGAAATGGTTTGCTTTTCCCTGTGTGGATACATAGTCTTTAAATTTCACTCCTGATCTCTAAGTGCTGGAGACAAGTAAGAATTGTTATGGGATATCACCATTTATTTATTTATTTATTTATAGCTTTCTCAAATGAATAAGGAAAGTATCCAGGGCAATGTCAATGCATTTGTTCACTAGTTGAACCTAGACCTCCACAATAGTCTGCAGGCCATTAAAACAGTAGAAAGTCATTTCAATGAATAGTGCACATTCAGAGAATTTACCCCTTGAGATCTTCTAAGAATTAAAAATGCTCAACTAAGCTGATTATTCACCAGGTAGTCAATTTCAATTCACATTCTGGCACAGTTTTGAGAATGTTAAGCTACAGTGCYGTATTTATTCCAAGAAAATATATTACAAACCATTTAAAATATAGCAAATTTAAGGTAGCTTCTGATGTGAACTGCGGCAGTTTGTAGCTCACAGCTGTTAGTTAATGGTGCAGATTTGTTTTTAGAGATAAATGTAATCAGTTAAACATTTGACTGCCACATTCATCTAACTGATGATATTTGTATGCAAATGCATGGAAGTAAAATTTAGAGCATAACAGCCAGTAGATCATGTTCTAGTTTGCAGTAACCTGTTTTCTTGAATCCCTACATTAGATGTTTCATGTTTTTGTGTTCGGTTGGATTATTTGACAGAAAACAATCTTAAAGCATGCTTGTTTTACAGAGTCTGCAAGATTCTTTTGGGTAATCTGATTCCCTTGTTCAGAAAGCTCTAGTTCTATTTCTCTGTGGCTTTTAAGATCTAGTACTGTTTGGCTTATATAGGCTTATGTTGTTTTTATTTCAGTTCTATGTAGCTCTAGTCAATTCACTTGCATTGGTTGTGATGCAGGTTTGTGTGCAGAGAATTCAAATAATAATGGCTTAAGCATCAGGGCCCCCATCCACCCAACTCATGTGCATGTCTCATCTCAGCTTGTGCCTTTTCTGTTCTATAAGGTCATCACAAGCTCAGATTTCTTTTGTATTATTCATCTACCAAACTCAGGGTGCTGCCTCCATCTACATAAGCCCAAATGGTGGATCACCATATGAGTACCTTAACCACAGGAAATAGGTAGAGGGGAAAGAAAACAAACACATTCTTCGTCATCATAAAGGACTTGATCTGGAAGTTTCATTCTATCACTTCTGCTCCTATTGAGGCATACACAGAGTTGTATTCTGGAAATATCATCTTTATTTATGACAGTGGTGTTCCTAGATAAAAATTGTGTAACTAGTGAAGGAAGAAAAAGAGAAATTGAAGATTATTATCTTTGTTTCTCTTCTTGTGTCTTGCTCTCATTGGCTCTCTTCTTTGGATGTTAAAGTTTACCATTCTTCTTTGCTATTGTTTTCTTCTCTTGCTTAACCATTTAATATCTAACTGCTTGTGGAATTTTAATTTGTATTAGCCTCATTGGCTTACTCTAATATTCCAAGACCTTTACATTTTAAGTTTTGTTCTCAGGTATTTTGTTGTTATCTTCTGCTTGGCAGTATTTGTGTTGTTCATTTGACAATGGTTGTCCTGTGTCACCATTAGATCTTAAAAATTACTTTTAATCTCCTTCCTGGGCCTTTGGTTGGAATTCAACAAATGTTGACTTAACAAAATCAGAGCTTTAGCTATTCATGACATGCTTCTCAAGGTGGTACCGACACTAATATTTGGTAGTAGGAGCTGCCTTATCATCATTTTTTATGTATTTACACACACTTTTCCAGAATTGAATATTTGTCATTCACCATTCTTTAGAGTCAATGTATGAAGCTTTATTCATGAATCATTTATATACCATCCTTTTCATATTCTCTTACCCAAACATGCATCTCCTAGTCTCAACAGGTTTCCATTATCTTATTGTAATAGAACAACTGGGTCAACAGCTTCATTTCTCCCCCTACTTTTGACACATTGCTAATCTTTATACTAAACTCACAATATTTTGTTGATGCCCCCCAAAAGGCACTTTGCAATGCTCCATACTGGCACTTTTGATATTCACTGCAATACATTCTTGRTTGGAAAATGTATCARTYAGGGGCTCAGCAGGAAACAGATGGCTCACACAAACAAAGTAATTAGGAAGTGTTTAATAAAGAAACTATTTACAAAGATGCAGGCAGGGTTAAGGAAAACCAGCTAGGGATGTTAAGCATGCTGGGGTCAGCACAACCGGAAACCACAGTCCCTCGRCTCTCTGGGGAAAGAGAAAGATTGGATTCCAGAACCAGCAGATAGAACCTGTAGCAGGAGAGCATTTCCCAACAGGAGCAGTGGGCTTGGTTAGAGACCCTTATTGGCYCATTAGAACCCTTCAGAGAGGGTCCAGGGAAATAAAAGCCCTGGTTTTATTTTCCTGTTTTTCTGTCTTCTGTTAGTTCCTTTWCTTGGTAGAATATAATTACAATATTGAGGTTAGTTGCCAGGGCTGAGAGCAAAGGTAGAGAAGATGAACAGGAGAATTAAAAGAACAAATGCAAAATATGTAACATGGAAAAAACATTGATTTTATACAATTTTTTCCAAAGTTGCCAGATACAATTTTTCATTTTCGTTTTCTTAATATTTCAAAGAAGTAGTTGAATAAATGGTAATACATTACAGTTGAGCATCTGTCTATCCTATTGTCTGGTTTTACTTTGACACCAATCTTAAGGCTTTAAGGATTCCGAATAGAATTTATATTGAAAACGCTGAAACTGAAATGAGTACATTTCAATACTATTCTTTTAGATCTCTGAAATAGGAACATTATTCAACTTAACATTTAACTGAGCAAAGCCATTCTGTGCCTGGTATAAATTAAGTATTGTCAGCAAGTTTACAGTATGATTAAAATACAGAAATGTGATAGAGGACATCTCCTTTGTTTAGCATACTCTATAATTGTGGCATTTAGTTATGTAGGGGATTTCAACACCATATGTTTTCACAAATACTTTGGGTCAGAAGGGTATGTATAATGGAAGGACATAATTAAAGTTTAATCTGTTCAGTAAAAAGGCACCATTAATTACTCTAGGCAATTTGTTAGGTTATTAATTGGTTCTGGAAACATGTCAAGATTCTAATTTAAATGGAATTTTTTTCTCTAATTGTCTAGACAGCCCCTCGACCATATACTGCCCCAGGAAATATGCAGCCTCCAATTCGATTACAGCCTCTTCCCCGTAATCCTGCAGTGGGGACTGTTCCAAAGATAACTTCCGGATCCAGATTAAAACCCTCAGTGCTGGAAAATGAAGCTCCATTTCCCATTGGGGTAAATGTTATTTTCTTCAAGAAATTTGTTCTTATTCTTGATCAGAATATTGGGTTATCACAGATTCAAGGTGCTATATTCAATTAATTCACATAGAGAAATTGATATTGTACATTTATTAAGCACTTACTATGTGTTATTTCTGGTGAACTATATCTAMCTGGAACTGGAAGTCCTATAATTTCTGTAATATTGAGCAGAAAGCAGAAAGAATGGATTTGTAACAATGTATGGACGCTTCTCATTAATTGGAGAGGCTGGTTGAAAAATAAAGAGGAAAGAATTTTCATAGCTAGACATGACTTCTATCAGAAGTGACCCATTGTTGACTCCTTCCAGATTGTAAATGCGTGAGACCTAGAAAATGAAACTTTCTAAGAATAGGTTTGCATTTGCATGTTGACTTACTTTCCCACCAGTGTATGAAATTACTTCAAGTTTGGCTCTTAGAAGGTTGAATATAGAAGGAAAAGAATGTCCATCTTTAAAAATGCTGAGTTAATCACACCCAGGAGTTCCCCTTTCAAGGTCACGTCCCAGGAAATTTTCACTTATTTACAGGAAGGAGGTTTGGTAACTATGAAATGTTAGTTACTTAAATAGGGAGGGATAATTAGGACTTCTCTAACTAGGGAGTGTACTATTTGTGTTTCTAACTTGAAGAAGAAACATTTGCCAGCTTATAAAAGAGCCTCTATYGTGATTATCATTATTCTGAGATGGGTGAATTATGTTACCTTCCTTATTAGGAAACACAAACCATATGAAATGAAGATATTTTTATTATCTTTCACTGAAAACTTTGACACTGGACCATTAAATTAAGATGAATAAATGATTGTTTCACAGTAAAAGCATAAATATTACTAAAAATAATAACTAATACTTTAATCCACTTAATGTGCTTTTCAGCTTGTGAAATACTTTTCACAAACTTTATTTCAGTTAATAGTAGTTTCCCAAAAAGCAGGATAGTCCCATAGTGATGGCTSTTTGTCTTAGATTAGAGCTGGGCAGGAACTTGCTTGCTCATAAGTTTGGCCCTTTGTAGGATCTAGTCTCTAATGGTGAGGCCCGTGGATTTCCCATTTCAGTCAGTGTCCATGAATAGTCAGTCCTGGAAAACTGTGTCAGCCTAACTAAAACAACTAATAACAAGGTGCTTTTTCTCTCTAGAGTAAACCAAAAATAATGGGCCTTACCATAATAAGGGGCCATTAATTCACCAAAAGATATCAAATAGTGAAAGCTTATAGAAGTGCCTTCCTCTCTTGTAAATAGAGCCACAAGAGAAGCCAGATCATAATGAGAAGGTTGCCTGGAGATATGGAATTAGAATGAAGGGGTATGTTAAAACAGAATGTTAACAGGATCAGGCTCAGATGACCCGGTTCACCCATCTCCTCTTAGGAATGTGCTTGTCAAAAGTACCAGAAAACTCTATATAAAAGTCTTTGGCTAAAACCCTCTGTGTCCTCCAGGGATAACTCTGCCATTAGAACTGGAAATATTCAAAGTCCAATGGGTAGGATTTTCTTTCCCCTAGATTGTACTCGCATGAGTACCTTCCATGTCTGCCAAGGTGATTATATTCTGTCCTAAGCTTCTATAATTCTATTTTGATTGGTACATTTTCTTGTTAAATTCGAACACTATCAATCAGATCATAATCAAGTTTTTCTATTTAGTTAGGGAGCAATTTTTTTTCTTTCAGGTCATTTTCCAAATTTATTCAGAGTCACTGAATAGACTGGCTGACTAAATCAATATAGGTTCTTATTTTCTTGTTTTGGGGATTTGGGTTACTGAAAGATATTTAGTGGTCGTTCACAGGTGCTGAGAAGACTAAGGTCAATTCCATGTTAGTTTCAATTAGCTAACCTCACTTTTCATTCAGTAAATATTTACTATGGGCTAGGTCCTGGTCTAGAAATTGATGTTATATCAGTTAACAAGGCTGACAAAAGTAATTTATTAGAGTTTCATAGTCTAATGTTCATAAGTGAAATATAGTGTGAAAAGACATGTTTATATTTTCCAAGTGATATTGATGGTGAAAATGTTTTAATATAAAATCAAACAACATGGTAGCAATCTGTATGATTACTAAGTATGTAATGAGCATCTAATAAATTCTTATTAATTTTTTAAAGAATAAAGGATATGCATGTGGGAAGTATTTGAAGGTACAACAGATAAAAGCAGGTTGAACTTCGCATAATACCAGGAGTGAAGGTCTTTAACTTAGGCAAAAGTGATTTGGTCAAAATTAGATTGGTTGCAGTGATACTAAGTAAAAGTAATTTCTTTATTAAAAATGAATAGCCTCCAAATGAGAGTTTCTCTTACACTGTTGGTAGGAGAAGAAATTGGAACAACTATTTGTAAAGGTAATACTGGGAATATCTATCACCATTTTATATGAACATACTCAAGCAGTTTAACATATAGGAATTTATTCAAGGAATACCACMTGTGCAAAGAAATAGAATCAGGAATATTTTTTTACTGTTATATTTTTAACAGTGAGCAATTGAAAGAAACAAGTATTTATATATTGTTTAAAAATGTCATAGTATATTAAGGTACATTAAAAAAATGACAGTAAATTATCTGTAATGGCATGAAAAGTTGTCCAAGATGCTTTGAGCTAAAACAAACAAATAAACAAAAGTAAAATTAAAAACATCTTAATTAAAAAAAATCATTAACCCATTTCCAAACAAGACATAMAATTGACCTAGTCAGAGTATCATTTTTTAAAAATCTCCAAACTCCAAAATTCTAGATTAATTGATTTTATTCTTCTTATTACTTTCACTTATTTTTGTTATTCCACACTAAATGCAGTTCATTACAGAAAAAATGGAATATGGGAGAAAAGAAAAATAAGAACATAACAATGAAATACCAACCATTCTAGCAATAGTAAATTGCTTTGTGAATACCTATTTAAATCCCTTCTGTTCACATAAATGCTCTTTTTAATCAAAATTAGGACTACACCTGCCTTTATTTAACCTGTTTTTACTTTTTTAGCAATGAAAAACTGTCTGCAGAATAATTTCCCTTTCTTAAAAATAGCTTCTTACTACTAAATGTCTCAAAGTAAGAACTAAATCGGCTTAAAATTAATTAGAAATTTAAAAAATGTAAATGCAATATAAATTTGTACTATTTAAATACAAATAATTATAAAAACAAATACATTGTTATAAATTGGGATAGGTAACTCAGGTTCTTTCAGTTATTCTTGCTTATAGTCAAAACCCACATATAAATTATTTAAGCAAAATAGCTGCTCATACTGCATGGACTCTTTTATGCTAGGATAAATAAATTCACATTTTTTCAATAGTCTGGTAAGAATCTATTGCACAAACAAAGCCAAATTTAAATATTTTCCTATTGGAATGTTACTTTTTTTGATGATTCAGCTAAATTTATACTGTAGCTATATAAGTGTATATGTTGTACCTCATAAAAATTTACATTAGTGTACTTGTGTAGTTGCCTGTGTAGGATTGATTGCTACCAATTGAATTTCTAGGCCAAAGAGTATGCACCTTTAAAACTTTGATAAATAGTCAAACTTGCCCTTCACACAATGTTTGAAATAATCTAAAGAATGTATGAGATTGCCTTGGATATCCTTCTATCTGAATAGGGGAAGTCAAAACTTGTAAAAAAACATTAACTCCCTATTGCCAAGTCTAATATCCAAACCTGTTTCAAAGTATAATCCTATAGACTTTTTAGTTTTAAATTGTTTGACTCTACTAGAGTCCTAGAGATTTAATGGATTATTGAGGAAAAATCCAAGAGTACTATAAAAACGTCATCATTTTATGTTGGCTTAAAACTATATTACACAAGTTTAGAAATTGTGAATATTTAATTTGCTCTGGATACTATAATTGCATATAAATGCAATTTTCTGCAGACTGGTGCATTTTGGGTTTGTCTACGGATACCAGTTGTTTTTGTATACGTTGTCATTAATACAGACTGCTCTTGTTAATTTTGGTTTAATTGGGTCACCACTTCTGTTTCATTTTACGTCATGAAATTTGATTACAGGGCAAGAAGGCAATGATGAAGTTCAGGAACTCCATGAACAATTCACAAAGAATGAATCCATATCAATTTCCACGCATTAACAGTTACGTGATGCCTGTTCCTCCTCTACCTCCTCCCCGAGATGGAAAAGTCACAAGGGATAATAGATCTGAAACATGGAGGAGGAGATTTCGTCCAATTACTGCTCCGAATGGCTTGGAACCTCTCTTTCCCAGGGTGATTATGGGATGAATTTGTCTTTTGTTAATTTAACACAAATTACTTTGCACAAAGTTTGATTTGTAGTTGAAAAATTTGGGGGGATCATACTTAAGATGCCTTGCATTAAGAAATGCAATGATTTGCTTCTTGTAATTTTTTTGGTATTAGGTTTTGAACCCAGAAGAGCTTTACTAATGAGTTACATCCCAGCCCTTTTTATTTATTTATTTTTTTTATTTTGAGACAGAGTCTCACTAAATGGCTGAGATTGGCCTTGAACTTGCTATCCTCCTACCTCAGCCTTCCAAAGTGCCTGGGATGACAGGTGTACAACAGTCCAGTGAGAAATGTAATGATTTTCATAAGTGAATTTGTAAGCTTCAGTGAATCTGAAACTAAAGATTTGGGTAGCTTTRTAGAGTGACTAATTCAGCATAATTGATGATAGAAATCTCAGTAAGTTTTGTGGTCAATTTTAGCTTGAATTACCCCAATTTCCAAATTATTTATTTCCCTTAATTTGCTGATTTAAAGTATCTTAACATTTCATTTGTGAAAATTCAGGGACTTAAATATACCTGGAAAATGTGATATACCTTATCAAATTTTGTTTTTAACCATTTAATGCCAAATGAGTGTGTAATGCTGAGAAATAAATTTCTCTTAGTGTTTTTTTTTTTTAAATATTGTAGTTTGGGGTACTCAATTCCTGAAAGTACTAATAAAGAACAATTAAGTCTGTACAGATAAGGGCTAGTGAGAAGACAAAAAGTTCTCTTCATCTTCTTTATGTAAATATACAACCAGTATTAGTTACATATAATTTTTGTGTTTATCAGCAGATGGCTGGGTCAGATTTCACTGACTGAGCCTCAGGGAGGGAAATATCAACATGCACACAGACTATTCTGGCTCTTCAAAGTCAYGCTTACTTTCAAATGCCTTCTTGGCCCCATGTCCACATATCACTAGCAGCAGCTGTTCTCACCTCTGGCCTTCTCAAAAGACTGGGGTCTTCTTTCTTCTTGCTTGCTAGCATTTTCTCCATTCAACTTGATTTTTATCAATTCTCTCCCTTTGCTACTGTTTTTGACAGATACCTCTCATCCATGAAGACCACCCTTCATCTTGTGTCCTTGATCTTTGACTCTTCTGTGGCCTAGGGTATGCCTTCCTCCTCTCTAATTTGTTTTTTTTTAGCCTTTAATATTAATCCCTGCTTCTCAACAGTCCAAGCCTTACATAGGGTAATCAAATCCTTTCCTCACAGGCTGTAACCTTAGACTTATGTTTTCTCCTTTCTTTCTCTGCAAAGTTCACGGAAGAATAATTCACTGTATCTTAGTCTAACAATCAACTCCACCTTCTGACAACAAAGTTTGATTTTTTCCTCTCATGATCATCTCTACTGGTCAGCTGCAGTTCTGAGACTCAGGTGAAGGAATAGCTCAGACTGAGGAGTCACTCTAGAATTCCAATGTCAAAGCAAGTCCTTAGCCAAGTCGAGCAGCCTTGGAATGAGAGCATCATCCTCTTGCAGAGAGGGGCGATGAGTATTGGAACTATAACAGCTTCTACCACATCTACTATTTTCCTTTCCTTTCTTACACTGCATTCTGGCATTGGTTTCCCCCAGGCCAATGAACATACTCCTTGAGGAATGTGACCCTCACTTAGCAAAAAAAAAAAAAAAAAAAAAAAAAAAAACCAAACAGTTACTTTCTTACCTTCTTCAAGTACTTGAGTGGCTACATTTTATTTTCTGATGTTGCATTACATGTCTTGGATAAATTCTGCCTGGTCACAATTGAAAAAATTCAAGTTTTCTGGGTGTAGTGATGCATGCCTATAATCCCAGTGGCTGGGGAGGTGGAAGCAGCTTCAGCAACTTATCGAGGACCATAAGCAACTTAGCAAGACCCTGTCTCAAAATAATAAATTTTAAAAAAGGGCTGGGGAGGTGGTTCAGTGGAAAAGTGCCCCTGGGTTCAATCCCCAGTACCAWAAATAAATAAAAAACAAACAAACAAACAAATATATAAATTGTCCCATCTATATCTGATATATAAAAGTGCATAAATTCATTCTACTGTCATGTATAACTAATTAAAAAAATTTAAATTAGAATGTTTTAAAACTGTATGTGCAAGTTAAATAATAACCAAACACCCACATATATACCACTTTTTTAATGAAGTAGAAATTTATTATCACATTAGTCTTAAGCTCCCATTTCCTRCCCCATCACATCCCCTACTCCTTCCTAGAATAACCACTACACTGACCTCTGTTTCCTCTGTCTCTGCTTTTCTTTAATATTCTGTCATTTCTGCACATGACACGTCAGACATAAGCTCAAACCCAGCTTTGTAATAAAAGGACAATATTTCCAGGAGAAAATAAGCTGAAAAGAATCATTGAGCCAGAGCCTGGGTTTGGCAGGACGTGAGTGTGTCCTGCCTGAGAAACAAGGGTTGACCAGAATCAGGGTATCTGCTGAGGGCTTAGTGTTGGCCAGACACAGATGTCCAGCAAGAATGTGATCAGTGCTTGGCTTCTGGAGCCGGACACCAAAGAGAGAGCAACAATTTCTCTAGCTGATGGTCATAATGAGGGAAGCACACACCAACATCTGAGCTCAGTTCCCCTGGGGCTCTGCGTTCAGGCTTGAAGCACAGCATGGGTCAGTAGGAATCTTGGCTCTGACAGACTTTATCCTGTCTCTCCAGTTACAGGCCTTCAGTCTCAGGTTGTTTTTTTGTTTTGTTTTGTTTCTAAACCTCTGTGTTTTGTCTTTGGAATTTCTATTATGGCAATGTTGAAACTTCGAGACTGGTGCTCTAATATTTTTAGCTTTTCTCTTCTGCCTACTTCATTATCCTTTTGTTTTACTTTCTGAGAGACTTCAATTTTATCTCCCATGCATTCTTCTGAGATTTTTTTTTTCTGCTGCCCCATTTCAATTCTAAAAACTCTTATGTGTTCACTGAATGTTAATTTTAAAAAGTATCTTATTCTTGTTCTGTGAGATTTTAATTATTTGGTTATTTGTGGAGACAGGCTTTGTGGGCTAGTTTATATTCAGTTTTTGGAAAGGATAGGATTCCTTAAATTTTGGGAGGAGGGTTCTCTAAACGTCTAAAAGATACATATTAATAGTGTTTTTCATATTTTTATATCCTTAGATTTTTTTATATGATTGCTCTCTCAGTTCCTGAGCTATAATGATAATCTGTTCACTATAACTATGAATTTGTCCATTTCACCTTGTAATTATGCCAATTTCTCTTTTGTAAATGTTTGGAATACCTCTTATATGCTTTCAAATGATTTAGGATTTTTTTTAATCTTACTGTTGAAATGAATCCCATATCATTAAAAATAATCCTTTTTATCACTTACCTTTTGTCTTCTTAAAGACAAAATCCTTAAGGCAGAAGGATTGCAAGTTCAAGGCCAGCATTAGCAACTTAGTGAGGCCCTAAACAACTTAGAAAGATCCTGTCTCAAAATAAAAAAATAAAAATAAAAATAAAAATGGTCTGGGGATGTAGCTCAGTGGAAAGTACCCTTAGGTTCAGAACCCAGTACCAAAAAAACAAAACAAAAAACCTTCAGGATTTAAATATATTAATGCAGCATGTGGGTGGCTTCTGTTTAATCCAATCTGAGAATCTCTGTTCCATTGATGATTTTAGTCCCATTACATTTATTTTGTTTCATGGTATATTTAGATTTACTTCCCCCATCTTAGTTCACATTTATTCTTAATCTGGATTTTTCTTTGATAGTGGCAATTTTTTTTGCTATCATTTCCTCCTTGAAACTCTCCTCTCTTGTCTTCCAGCCACTCTGTTCTCATGGTTCTTTGCTATTACCTTTTAATTCTTGCCTTACTCCTTTTAGAATCTCTCTTTAGGCCTAAGTGTGGCCATCAGTACAAGCATCAAACTTGACATTTGTTTTWCTATTCAAAATGTAGCCATTTATTTATGTGGTTTCAATAGTTTTCCGTGTGTCTCCTGCATTTGTCTTTGGCCCCAGGTCCCTGAGGCAGGGGTAGAGAATTAATCTGTCCAGTGGGGAGAGTCATGCATTTTTACTTAAGTAACAAGAGCTTTTTAATTTAGATGTAGATAAGAGTCATCTAAGGTGGGATGACTCTCATGGCTAACCTATGCATTAAAGTCATTCTTTCCTTCTGTGACTAGTGCCCACCAAAAGTGTCCTTCAAATGCTCTTAAGAAGGAAGGGAAGAAAGAGGTAAAAGACAATGAAATATGGCTTGCACTATCCAGCAAGTTGTCTTCKCGCCCTGTTGCTTTGCCCTGTATTGTTCTAGCACCTTCAGAGCTTTATATAGTATTTGCAGGATCTACGATCCTAGTTAGATTGTGCCCTGAGGTTTAACTTTACTCACCTCTAGATTTTTTTGTTCCCCTCAGGATTGAGAGAGCCTGACCTTACTGGTTACCTACTCTATACAAAAGTCTAATAAAAAGGTGGATGGATAGACCCCAAAATAGCTTCTCTAAATGTGAGGATATAGGTTTTAAAATAAGAACTTTTATGATTGTGTGTCAATTAAAAATACTAAAATAATAAAATAATAAAACTTGTTTTATATATATATATATGAAGGCAAAGAACTTTTCTGAGAATGTTAGTCTGGACCTTTCCTCATGTCTCATTGAAGTCTTTTCTCCACTTCCTTTCTCTAAATGAGCCCTGTGCAATTACAGGTGCCGGATGGATAGGTCCTGCTGCCCCTCACATTCAGCATTGTGGCAACTTAAACCAGCTTCTCCATTTAATTGCCTTATTTCTCTTAAGCACAACCTTTTCTCTAGTAATTTGGTCTCAAAATCTAGAACTTCTTCCCTCTACATCACACACAGCCAGTTAATTGCTGAGTCCTCTAGATCAGAGTTGTCCAATAGAAATTKAATGCAAGCCACATAAACAATTTTTACTCACTGCATTGAAAAAGGTAAAGAGAAACATGAAATAATCTT